TATTACATGTATGTATTTATGTGCACAGTATGCAGGCATGTGTACAGTATGTGTGTGTGACTGAGCATGTGTGTATGTGCTTGTATGTACAATGCATGTATATGCATATGTGTAATGGATGTAAATATGCATGTATGCATCTGTATATTTATGCATGTTTGTCCGTGTGTGAGAGTTTTCATCTGTGGATTTGTTTTGCATGAATGTACACGTGTCTGCACATATTTGTGTATACTGTATATGCATGTATACTGTATATCCATATATTTATGCATGTATGTGTGTCTTTACATGTGTGTATTTGTTATGCATATACGTACATATGTCTGCACATATTTGTGTACACTGTTTATGCATGTATATATCTGTATATTTATATATGTGCAGTATGTGGGTGTTCACATGCAGAAACATGCAGTAATATGGACATACATGTATTTATTTTGCATGCATGTATGTCCATATTTCTGCATGTATGTACATATGTCTGCACATATCTGTGAATACATGCATGCATGTACATTAGAAGGACATGGGATTGACTGTCCCAAAAACAGCTCTCTGCCATTATTCAGGCTCATTCCCAGCAGTGGTCTTCCCTGCACAGAGCTGCCCTTCAGGGTGACGATTGGGGGGTCAGAGGTCAGAAGGTCAGGGGTCAGCGGGTCTTGGTGGATCAGCCGGGCCGGGACGTGTGGAGTGATTCTGTCGTGGAGAGAGAGACTGTGTCCCACACTGTGCCTCGGCCACCATCAGCTCCTCTTCTTATCTCCTGGAACGGTTTGAGATGAGCGCAGCTGATCGCAGAAATGTCCTGACGTGTCAAACTCTTATCTGATTTGCGGGTAGCTTTATTCTGAAGGGTGTGAAGAGATCTTGTGTTGCTTCTGTCTTCAGCTTTCTGAGAGAAGTGTGCAAAGCACTCCTGCTCGGGAGCTCAGTGCAATTTCATAAGTAAACAAGACCAGTCACAAACAAGATGAGGCCGTTCTGCCCAGCTGCCCTGTTCCATTGCTGGTAGATAATTCTTCCTCAAATTCTGTTCAACACTCCCACCACCCTTCATGTACAGTAGTGGCCTCCTGTCCTGTCTGAAGGATCTCA